CTAAGTGAAAATATTGTAAATTGCAGTATTTGTATTTTCAGTGATTTGGAACAAATTGTTGCTCCAAACTGTTGAATAACCAAACACTTTCTTTAGCATTTTGATCTTTGAGTTACATCATATTTACATACCATCCAATATTTTTGGGTTACATTATATTTAGAATTTTTAAATTTTTATTACTTCATCTAAATTCCTTAAATTATGAATTTTTTTTATCCATAATAATTCATTCAACAATAATTGTTGAACTAAATGAACACGGAGTAAAACACCTAAAGGACTGGTACCGTTGATTCATTCATTGATCTTGTATGTGCATTCATTAAATATATTAGAACCCTTTGCAATAAAAATACTTGGTTACTATTTTAAAAAAGTTTAGTGGCAATTATAATGAATATCTTATATTATCTTGTATTCATATATTATGAGTTACATATTTAAATAAACAAATTCGACATTAAATTAGTTATGTGTGAACTTCTCATATATAATCTTACATTGATATATTTTTAAATATTTATTTAATTATAAACATTGGGCATTAGTTCATCTGTGCAATGCACGTGTAAAACTAGTAGATATAGATAAATATCAAATCATATTTTTTACTTGTATGCAAAAAATTCCTATTTTTAAAATTGTTATTTTGCATTGATATCCAAGTTTTGTTTTATAATTTAATTAGATGGTATTGTAAACTTTTGTTTATTATCATAAATAGTAAACTAGTAATTTATCCTTGCGATTCACAAAAAAAAAAAAATAAATAAAATTATTATTGATTTAAATAAAGAATTAGAAAAAAAAATGAAAAGATGTTTCAATTACAATATAATAATATATTTGGTCAAGTATATATTTTCATAGTTTACAAAATTAAAATTAAAATTTTGTATGGTTAATATAGTCTCTAATCATTTACATATTTAGATAAATTTATAGAGAAAATTTACATAATTAAACTTATTTATTCCTAATTGTATTTATATATTATAGTTCAAACAATATTTTTTTTTTTTGAATGCTACTGGCTCTATTACATTGTAGTATCTGTTCATATACTTTCTCAACCTACTGAAACACAAAGAACCAATAACGCCTCCACTGAGGCTCGAACTCGTAATCTTCCAAATGAAAGTCCAACCCGGATACCATTAGACCACATAGTCCTGATATAGTTCAAACAATATGAATACTAACTAAGATAATTATATTTAGAAATAACAAAAATTTAAATTTAAAATTTGCATGAGTAAAATTTAAACTCTAATTTGACAAATTATCTTATATGATTGTATAATACATTGTATATGCATATAAATTTATTAACATGTAGTTAGGCAAAGTTTATAATATAATTTTTTAATTATAATTTATATTGCTAAACTCCAACTAGTATTAACTCGGAGCACTTCAATTGGTATTAACTCGGAGCACTTCAACTGGTATTAACTCCTCAAAGTTAAGATGTGCATATATGGTCAAAGATTACTATATCCATCATTCGATTCCCATTTGTAATATCAAAATACTTCGTTCGATTCCCATTTGTAAGTGTAAATTTTGAAAACTTAACTCACATATACTTTTGGTTTGTCATTGTAAATACTTACTATTTATATCTTATAAATAAATTAAAACTAAGGAAGTATAAACTAAATGCACAAAAGAAAACTCGTTTTTTAAATAATAATTAAATATAAATATATCCTAAAGATTTTTATATAATAACTAAATCGTTTATTTTTTAAAGGCAAATAAATAAATATAAAAATTCTTAATAAATATGCAATCAAGAGAAAATATTTACAACGAAGTACACATTTGAAAGCTCAACAAAAATCAGGTCACTATATTTTGAAGGGCAGACAAAGGATCGAACCCACTACCTATTGTATGCAAAGCAAGCGCTCTCCCATTTGACCTACACCACCATTGTGAATGGATACTTCAACATGATTTACTAATACTTTCATATATTTTGAATATAGGTACAAAAGTGATCGGAAGCTACTCATATAAGAGCCAGGTTTCGATCCTAGGACCTGTGGATTATGGGCCCACCACACTTCCGCTGCACCACTCTGATTTTTCAACCTTTAAATGCATATATAGTTATTTAGGCAGTATCGCAGCAAGGCTCCAAAATTGCACAATTCCATCTTCAAAGTCACAGTCTTATTGCATAAACACAATGGCAATACTTCATCTAAATTTTCATAATTAAATTGGGTAACACTTAGAGACGAATTCTACAATTATCATATAATAATTTAGGAATGAAAAGTGCAATTTTCTCTAAAATGTTTATATTGTGCAAAGTTGTTTGCATGCGAGCCCAAGAAATATGGGACTTCTTTTTTGAGAAATCACATTTTAAGCTGCCTTAAAAATCACAAGGCAGTCCCTGCTGACATTCCAACCTACCCCTTCTTTTGTTGGAACTAAAAGTAATGAAGACACTGAAGGGGTGTTTGGAACTTGGGTGTTTGATCAAGACTTGATAAGGAGTGTCTTAGCAAATATGATTATTGTGGATGAGCTGCCTTTTAGGATTGTTGAGGGATAAGGATTTAGGAAGTTGTTTTAGTTTACTCTCCTAGGTTTTAAATCCCTTCAAGATGGACTATCAGTAGGGACATTTTCAAGATGTTTTTTTTTATGAGAGGGTGAATTTGAAGAAATTTTTAGGACTAGCAGTCAAAGGGTCAATATCACAACTGATACTTGACCTCAGTTCAGAGAATAACTTACATGTGCATAACTGCACATTTCATTGATAGTCAGTGAAAACTCCAAAAGAAAATAATTTCATTTGTTCCTATCTATTCACACAAGGGGGGAAAGTATTGTAAAGGCTTTAGAAAGTTGCCTTTTGGACTAGGGTCTCAAATTAGTTTTCAGTGTGACAGTTGATAATGCTTCAAACAATGATAATGCCCTAGGATTCTTGAAGAAGAAGTTGTTGTCTTGGGGTTGTACTACTGTTAGGTGTAAGTATTTGCACATGGGGTGCATTGCTCGCATCTTTAACTTGGTGGTATAGGATGGGTTGAAAGACTGTGACAGTGCTGTTAAAAAAGTGAGGGATGATGTTAGGTATGTGAGGAGCTCACTTGCTAGGCTACAAAAGTTTAAGGAACTAGCTGATCTAATTGGGGTGGAAGCTAAGAATTCTTTGTGTCTTAATGTTCCTACAAGGTGAAACTCCACATATATGGTGCTACATACTGCATTCTTATTTCATAAAGTCTTTGAAGTGTATGAAGATCATGACATTTCATTTAAAGGGTAAAGTTTAATAAGTATTGGGGTGATCCTGAAAAAATGAACTTTCTTATTTTCTATGCAAATATCGTAGACCCGATGGACAAAATAAAATGCATACCCATTCAGTTTAACCAGTTATATGGTGAGGATACGGGTAAATCATTGTTTGAGAAGGTTATTGCTGACCTTAAGGAGTTGTTTCAAGATTATGTTGTCAATTTTCCTGTCCAGTATGTTCCTGAACAATCTGACAAATATGCTCCCTCTATTACATTATCTGATTCGTTTTCTGCTCCCTCTGTCCCTTAGTCCCTTAGTCCCTGATTCCTTGGCTGGGAACTAAAAAGTTCTCATGGCTTGGTAACATTTTAAATGTTGTTGTCATTGAGCTCAGGTATCAGTAGGTGATTTTTGCCTTTGGCCCCTTTATCATTGAATGGTGACCGGTAATGTATATGACTTCACTTCTTGTCTCTATCTCTCTTATTTAGTTTATTTATTAACCTTATTCTTGTGCAATGATGATGCTTCCACCATGTTATCTGAATATATGGAATTGAGTTTGGTATGTTGCCTATGTAGTGTGGTGTGTATGTCATACTCATTGAGCAATTTGCGCCCAGTCCTAACTTGATATAGAAAAAAAAAAGTAAAAAAAAAAAAAAAGTAATATGAGCACTCTTTATCATGTTCAATTCAATCAATTGTTCCAATGTATCAAATTATCAATGTTTCAATGTTTTGAACTTATCAAATTTTAATGTTATCACTTATCAGAAAGAAGAATAAAATATTCAATATTAGGATATATTTCATATTTGATGCTGGTAATATGGTATTAGTGGTATTCTTGTCATCTTGTGGTCATGTGGATTGTGCTGACTGATTGGAGTGATTGTTGTTGTTGGAGAATGATGTTGTCTGAATTCTAAAAACATTATATTCATGCTTTGAATTGTATATTCTAAGTTCTAAGTTTGACAGTCGATAAACTTGTATGCTTTGAAGTTTGAAGTGTAAATTCTAAGTTCTAACGGTTGTAAAGTCTAATCTGTGTAATTTTGTTTTGGACTTGAATTTAAGTAGTTAAGTGTTTAAGTTTAATTTTGAAGTTTGAATTTGTGATTTTGTGTAATTTTGTATGAATGTAAATGTGTAATAGGCTATGTCTTGTGAAAAATGTATTAAAAAAGGTGATTTTAATTAAGTAAATTTAAGAATTTTCAAGTTACATTTTTATTTTTGTAAAATCGAACTATCCGGCGGATTAACCGGATTAGTTCGGCCATATATCCGACGGTTTTGAGTTTAAAATTAAATGAATAAGACCTCCAAAATGAAAATTGAAATTCGCTCGGGGTATCCAATCGTGAACCCGGTCCGTCTTATGCTCAGCCCTACTAGTTACAGACCTCTCAACTAAAGTCGTTCAATTTCACTAAGAATTCTAGGTACAATGGTTTAGTCTTAAACGGATTTATTGAATAGTTAAACATACTACCTGCAAAAGGCTTAGGGCATCTACATTAGTTCGTTTTTGCAGGTTTCAATGCCATGTGTAAGAGAGAGAAGACATGAGAGAAAATGACAAGGTCTCCCTGCAAGACCTTGGTTTTTTGTGGGACCCGCTAGAGAGAGAAAAAGCAATGGCAGTTGCATACTTGCATGTCCCCTAATTCCTGTTGAGGCTCAAATTGCACCATAGGATCAGGCAGCCAGGGATCTTTATATACTTGAACAGATTTACCAAATGAAAATTCACCGCAATGAATCAAGCTCATCATCATCCTATATCAAAAAATCTAACACTGCTCATATCCCCATCACCTGTCTAGTAAATAGAGTTTGTTTTCTTCGGATCCTCAGAGTTCCAGCATTCTAGGCAATATCGAAGAATAATAAAAGTTACTTGATTGTAATGGCTAACTGCAGCTTTCTCACATTTTTGGTTGCCTTCTGGGCTGAGAGATAGCTGACCTCCATCTCTCAAATTAGACAAATTTCAATAATAATAAATTGAAACACTAATGATTTCTCATCTTTACATCAACCTACAAAATGGTAACGACCCATACCCAATTCCTTACATCTGTTCAACTCATCACCATCCAAATCATCTTCAAATCCAAAGAGCCTCATCGATCTTGTCAGACTTTTCAACCAAAGATGTATTTCCTCCTTCTGTGGATGCCTTCTATCTTTAACCATGAATACATGAACCTGGCTCTCTATTTCGATCCAACTGCAACCGGGCTGCTTAACAACACCGCGATGTCTCATTAGTTTACGTACTCTTGCAACATCTTTCCAGCGCCCGACCTCAGCATACATGTTTGAGAGAAGGACGTAAGGACCCGAGTTTTCAGGATCAACCTCCAAAAGTTTCTCGGCTACATGCTTACCCAACTCCATATCACCATGAGTTTTACAAGCAGAAAGCAAAGATCCCCATACAACACCATCGGGGGACATTGGCATTGATTCTATCAAATTCCTTGCTTCGTCTAGGCAACCAGCTCTACCAAGTATATCCACCATGCATGTGTAATGGTCTTTCAAAGGTTCCAAATCATATTCCCTCATAGAATAAAAATATTGGCGTCCCTCCTCAACTAGCCCCGCATGGCTACATGCACAAAGAACTCCAATCATACTAACATGATCTGGCTTCTCCCCGGCTATCAGCATATCCTTGAACATTTCAAGAGCTTCGATTGCTTGCCCATTTTGGGCAAGCCCTACTATTATTGCATTCCAGGAAACCCAATCTCGGTCAATCATATTTTTGAAAACCTGTCTACCATCTGCAACTGACCCGCACTTCATATACATATCTATTAGCGCATTCCCCACAAAAACATCGGGCTCTGGTCCATGCTGGAATCGAAAACCGTGTTTCAAAACATGGGCATGAGCTTGCCTGCCAAGCCTCAGATCAGACAGATTTGAGCATGCATTTAGAAGGTTCCCAAAGGTATAATGAGTTGGCCAAACTGACTCCCGTTTTAACATAAGAAAGAGCTCCAGTGCCTCCTCATTTTCCCCATTTTGGGTGTATCCAGCAATAAGGGCATTCCAAGACACCACATTCTTTTCCATCATCCCAGTAAACATTTCTCTAGCGGCCTTCACACTTGCAGCCCTTGCAAAACCACTTACCATAGAGGTATGAGAGACCACACTCCTTACAGGCATCCTATCAAAGATTTGTCTTGCCTCATAAACCCTGCCACACTTTGCATACATATCCACCAAAGCATTGCTTATGATAAGGTCACCTCTAAACTTATGACACTTCATAACTCGGCCATGAACTTCACGGCCCTCTCTAACTAAGGCCAAGCTCGCACAAGCACTTATGGCACTTGCTAAGGTCATCTCATCTGGTTCAAACCCAGAGTGCATCATCATAACAAAAATCTCAAGGGCTCTGCTAGCAGGCCCGTTTTGCTCATAACATGTGATCAAACTATTCCATGAGACCACATTGCGGTCCCTCATATCATCAAAAACCTTCTGAGCACACTCCACATTTCCACATTTTGAGTACATATCAATAAGTGCAGATCCCATGTAAACATCATATGAGTATTTTGACTTGGCCACAGAACCATGAATTTGAGTACCCATTGTCAAGTCCCTAAGTCCAGCACAAGCACTAAGTGCGCTGCCATAAGAGTACTCATTCAACAGAAAGTCCTCCCTGTGCATTCTCACAAAATATTCCATGGATATATCAAACATTTCACACTGAGCAAAGCTCGAAACCATCAAGTTCCATGAGCACTGATCAGGCTCCAGCATCGAGGAAAACAGCTCCTCAGCCTCATCAAGTAGTCCAGATGCTGTAAATGCATTGATCATCGAGTTCCAAGTAAAGGTGTTCTTGTCACGCATTTGATCAAACACCTTCCGGGCGTCTAGTAACCGCCAACATTTCCCATACGCATCTATGAGCCGGTTGTTGATGAAGACCTCGCGGCTGAAATGATTCTTCAGGACCCTCCCGTGCACTGAACGCACGCCCAATGATGATCTGGTACTGATGCAAGAACCCAAGAGCTCTGCCAAGAGCGTCGAGTTCTCGTAGAAAATATTGGCGGTGACGATTTCTTTGAGAAACAAAGCATTCTTTCTGGCCATTCAACATGAAACTGAAATAGCATTTTTGGTTTAGAACATCAGAGATCGAGGTTCAACTATGGAAGCTGCTGTTGAAGGTAGCAGATGAAGTGGCACTCTCACCAAGTTTACAGAATAGTTATGCTCCGCAATCTGCAGCATATATATCATTTATATTATGTGAGAAGCGGTAGTTCGTAACATTTGTTGTGAATATAATAATATTATTATTATTAGTAAGATGCAATAGAATAGTAGCTATATTAGTTCACTGAGAGGAAGAGAGAATTGCTAGCTTTCATATATTGCTTCTTGATGTGTTTTGATACAAGGAGTGAAGGGGGTATTTATACTATTAGGGTTAGGAATAATCAAATATATAATTGGCATAGTATGGATAGATGTTGAAGTTAGTTTAGTTGGTTACTCAGCATGTAGCACATTCCTTCTTGTTTGTGCTCCTGCTCTTCCTTCTTATGATAGTTACATTTTTTACTTGAGTATTGTGCTCTTCAGGAGCAAGAACATTCTTTCTTGTTTGTGCTCCTACTCGTCCTTCTTATGTTTGTGCTCCTACTCGTCCTTCTTGTGTCTTTGCACTTTCTTTAAAGCAAGATCAGACTTAGCTTGCTCCTTCTAGAGCAAGATCAGGACATCCACATTTTCCTTATGTTTATGTTTCATAACACTGCCCCTTGGATGTCCAAAGGAGGAACACTTTATTGCCTCGTTAAAAACCTTACCAAAGAAAAACCCAGTGGGAAAAAAAACTTTGGTCAAGGGAAAAAGAGTACAATAATATGCTCCCCTGATGAAGACATCTTGAAGATCTTTAAGATGACGCATACCAATTCCACGAACTAGTTTCTTGAATGTAGTCGTAGGTAATGCTTTGGTGAATAGATCTGCTAAGTTCTCACTTGAACGAATCTGTTGAATAATGATTTCACCTTTCTTCTGGAGGTCATGAGTGAAGAAGAATTTTGGTGAAATGTGCTTTACTCTGTCTCCCTTGATGTATCCCTCCTTTAATTAAGCGATACATGCTGCATTATCTTCATATATTGTTGTTGGAGTATCATCCACTGGTAGACCACATGCCCCTCTAATATATCGAGTAATTGATTTAAGCCATACGCATTCTCGGCTTGCTTCATGAATAGCAATTAGCTCAGCATGATTTGAAGAAGTGGTAACAATGGTATGCTTAGTAGAACGCCAAGATATAGCAGCACCTGCACTTATAAACAAATAACCAGTTTGGGATCGCACTTTATGCGGATCCGAAAGGTACCCGGCATCTGCATAACCAACCAAGTCCCATTTGGAATCTTTTGTATAAAATAATTCCAAATCAATTGTTCCTTGGAGGTAGCGAAATATATGTTTGATGCCATTCCAGTGCCTTCTTGTTGGACAAGAACTATACCTTGCCAACAGATTAACAGAAAATGCAAGCCTTGTGTTGTTAGCAAGGTACATTAGTGCGCCTATTGCACTAAGATATGACACTTCCGAACCAAGGATTTTTTCATTATCCTCCCGAGGTCATAAGGATCCTATTTCAAATCAAGAGTTCGAACCACCATTGGGTTACTCAATGAATGTGCCTTGTCCATATAAAATCTTTGAAGAACGTTCTTGGTATAATTTGATTGATGAACAAAGATACCTTTATTCAAATGTTCAATCTGTAAACCAAGACAAAATTTCCTCAGGAGTCCCGATGATATTCATATCATCAACATAAACAGCGATTATGACAAATCCATGTCCAGATCTTTTTATAAAAACACATGGACATATTTGATCATTGGTATAACCTTCTTTCAATAAATATTCACTGAGTCTGTTATACCACATGCGCCCTGATTGTTTTAGTCCATATAAAGACCTTTGTAACTTTATCGAGTAAAGTTCTCGAGGGCTTGTTTTATGCCTTTCAGGCATTTTCAGTCCTTCAGGGACTTTCATGTAAATGTCACTATCAAGTGACCCATACAGGTAGGTTGTTACAACATCCATTAGTTACATTTTTAGCCTTTCAAGCACAGTTAGGCTAATGAGGTATCATAATGTTACAACATCCACAACATGTGAATATGTTTCATTATAATCGATACCTGGTCTTTGAGAGAATCCTTGAGCTACGAGTCTTGCTTTATACCTCGTAACCTCATTGTTCTCATTTATTTTTCTTACAAAGACCCATTTGTACCCCACAGCTTTTACCTCTTTAGGTGTTCGGACGATTGGGCCAAACACTTTTCATTTTTCAAGCGAATTCAATTATGCTTGAATTGCTTCTTTCCATTTAGGCCAATTGTCCCTATTTTGACATTCATGAATGGATCTTGGTTCATGATCCATATCATCATTCATGATACTCAATGCTACATTATATGCAAAACAATCATTCACAATGACTTCATTTCTATTGCATATATCTTCAGCATTAGTATAATTCATCAAGATCTCTTCATTTTTCTCAATTTCTGGCGAATGAATCTCTTTAGGAATTTCATTCCTTTCAAACTCATTTTTATGAGTTTTCTCATTTTTCTCACAAAGATCATTCTTTGTATTGACCTTTCTTTTTCGAGAATTTTTAACCTTCGAATCAATAGGTCTTCCACGCTTTAAGCGTACTTGAGATTCATTCTCAGTTTGATCTTTTGGAATGTCAATACTAGCAGGAACATTAGCTGCTGGGATATAAGATTTTGTTACCCTTTTCGGGTCAACAAATGCGTCTGGCAGTTTATTTGCCAATTCACGCACAAATGAATTATCCTTAGAACTTCTTGTTCACATTGTTGAGTTATAGGATCTAGATGAAGCAATGATGGAGTATTCCAAGTCAATTTCGTCTCCACAATTTTATTTTCTCCTTTCAATGTTGGAAAGGATGCTTCATCAAAATGGCAATCTGCAAATCTTGCAATAAACATATCTCCCGTTAATAGCTCAAGATATTTAATTATCGAGGGAGATTCATAGCCAACGTATATTCCCAATCTCCTTTGAGGACCCATTTTAGTCCGTTGTGGTGGAGCAATAGAGACATATACTGCACAACCAAATGTTATCAAATGAGAAACATTAGGTTCCTGACCAAAGGCTAATTGCAATGGAGAATACTTATGATAACTTGTCGGCCTAATTTGAATTAGCGCCGCTGATAAGTACAATTTATATCTTTAATTTAGATTAGTTTTTATAATAAATTAGTTTTATTTATTTAGTATTATATTTATTTTGAACATTATTTATATTTTGTACTAATATAATAATAAGTTAAATAATTAGGCTTAGTAAATATTTTTGGGTCATTAGGATTTTTCATAATAAATAAGGGTTCGATTTTGTTGGTTGATTTATTTGGCCCAAACCAATGATTTAACTATTTTAAATAATTATGAAGCCCAAGTCTCATTTAACTTTAATTAGTCTTTTTATTATTTTTCTTGTGATCTCACGTTGAATTAAGCAGAGGCCAGCAGGTGAGGACTTCTTCTTCTACGTACGACTCCAACGACGAAACTGCAACGAAGACTTTTCTACGACCCAGTTAGCGTTCGAAAATTACAGCGAAGTTTGCGGCGAAGACTCCATCTGTGCGCTTCATCCCGTGAGCTGCTTGAAGGATGTGGTTTCAGCGACTTCGAACTGCTGCGATGAACGAGTAAATTGGCGATGGAGTTGACGCGGTTTTGCCGATTGAAGCAGAGAGTATTTGGAGCATGCTCTGCTAATTTTCTTTGGTTAGAAAAATAAGTATTATTTATTTTCTAGATTTTGTGTGGTTAAAGAAATTAAATTATTTTGTGGATGTTAGGGAAATTAGAGTTATTTTGAGTTGATTAGGGATCCTGAACTAGTATAAATAGGGTTGAATTTTTCAGTAGAGGGAAGTCAGTTTTTGATAGAACAATTTTATTTACTTTGTTAACACTCCCTGCAATGTACTGCTGAGTTCGAATTTTCCAACTCAAGGATTATTGAAGTTTGATTCTACAAGACTAGTGAGATTTATTTAGCTTAATTTCATTCTCTGCACTTTATTATTTATATATCTCCTATTATATGAGTTTTAATTATTGCTTGATTAATTGTTGCAAAAGGGCCCTTTGTCCAATTGTCAAAGTATTAAACTGCTATTTAGAACTTTGAATCCGTAATTGTTTAAGTGTTCTAAAGCTAGTAGCAAATAACACAATTTGATTATGTATGGATTTTCGGTTTGTGTTATGGAGATATATAGTCTAGCTTAAATGAACCATGCTTTTGAGTTTGTTGGCTAGAATTGGTAATCTTTCTAATTCTTTAATGCTGTTAGTAAATTAAATTCTAAGAGCATGTTTAGGATTGTTTATTAGCTAGGGAAGTAATCAAAGAGCTTGTTTTGATTACCGACAAAGTAAGGAACGATAGGTTATTAGAGCTTGTTAATAACCATAACCAATTTGGTAAAGAGTAAAGTAATTATTTTTGGGAAATCAATGATTTGTCTTGTTAGAATTGAATTGATATTATGCCTTGGGTTGGATACTAGTTTTCTATTGATTCATTTTATTTGATACTAAATATTCTTCGCTATTTTATTATTGCATTTTGAACTTGAATTATCATTCAATTCTTAATTTAATCTTGGCTTAAAATTAAATCGAACCAATCTCTAGGGAAACTACCTTACTCATCACTGTTGCAAATTTTAGAGTAAGTAATTTATTATTTGTTGGTTTCGACACCCATCAAATTTTTGGCGCCGTTGCCGGGGATTAGTGTCAAATAGATTTTTTTTATGCAGCGTTCTTCTCGTACAGGCCAGTTGCAATACGATCCTGAGATCGAGAAGACTGCTAAAAGGTTGAGAAAAGAAACTAAATTGCGCAAAAATCAAGGCCTGTCATCAACATCCCTTCAATCAAATACCACAACTGAATCAACTGCCTCTTGTTGCAATCCCGAAGTAGAGCAAGCAATGGCCGAAGAACAAAGGACCTTGCGGGAGCTTTCGGCACCAAATGTGAATCAACAACTACTTTGTATTCAACATCCTGCATTAGAGGTTGGTTTTGAATTAAGGTCAGATTTGATTCAATTACTTCCAACTTTTCGTGGACTTGAAAATGAAGATCCACATAAGCACCTAAAGGAGTTCCATGTGGTGTGTTCGAGCTTCAAACCACAAGGAGTGACGGAGGAGCAAATTAAATTGCGTGCTTTCCCATTTTCATTAGCCGAGAAAGCAAAGGATTGGTTATTTTACCTCCCTCCTAGCACAATAACCACATGGGCGGATATGGTAACACTATTTCTTGAAAAGTTTTTTCCAGCTTCACGAGCAGCTAGCATTAGAAGAGAAATATGTGGCATTAAGCAAAGAGACGTAGAGACCCTCCACGAATACTGGGAACGCTTCAAGCAACTGTGTGCAAGTTGCCCCCAACATGGAGTTTCTGAACAACTCCTTATTCAATACTTCTATGAAGGATTGCTGCTCATGGAAAGAAATATGATGGATGCAGCTAGTGGAGGTGCTATAGTGAACAAAACTCCTCGTGAAGCTAGAGATTTGATATCCATCATGGCTGCTAATTCACAACAATTTGGATGTAGACAAGACACATCTCCAAGAAGAGTGAATGAGGTAAATATTTCTTCCCTTGACAATAAATTATCTCAATTAACTACTCTTGTTCAACAATTAGTTGTAAGAAATGTGCAACAAGTAAAAGCTTGTGGAATTTGTGCTGTTACTGGCCATCCAACTGACATGTGCCCGACGCTTCAATACAACTCTTGTGAGGATGTCAATGCAGTTGGAGGATTTCCGGGACAACCACAAAGAAATTATGATCCCTACTCAAATACATACAACCCCGGATGGAGGAGGGATCATCCTAATTTTAGCTATAAAGCACGCCCACAATTTCAACAATATCAGCATGTTCCACAACAACAACCTTCATCCTGACAACAATCATCTTCTAATTCAGGTACGTCGTTGGAAGATATTGTTAAGTCACTTGCTACTAACACACAACAATTTCAGCAAGAAACAAGAACAAGTATTCAACACTTAGAAAGTCAAATGAGCCAGCTTGCATCTACCGTGAGTAGATTGGAGTCTCAAGGTAAATTGCCGTCACAAACTGTTGTGAACCCAAAGCAAAATGTAAGTGCAATTACATTGAGAAGTGGAAAAGAGTTGAAATAACATACTCAAGTAAGAAAAACACCCAACCAAGATGAGGAAACTGAAAAAGAAGTCTCTCAGCCTCAAAATGACCAAAATCTTATTGGGGAGCTCCCGAAGTCTTTGGTAATTCCTCCACCTTTTCCTAGTAGATTGGCTAAATCTAAAAAGAATGAAGAAGAGAAAGAAATTCTTGAAACCTCCCGAAAAGTTGAGGTAAATATTCCTTTACTTGATGTTATTAAACAAATTCCTCGATATGCTAAATTTCTCAAAGAGTTGTACACAAATAAAAGAAAGTTGAAAGGCAATGAAATGGTAAGTATGGGGGAAAGTGTTTCAGCTATCCTTCAGAAAAAATTACCTCCCAAGTGTAAAGACTCAGGTATGTTTGCTATCCCTTGCAAGATAGGTAATATTAATATTCAAAGAGCAATGTTAGATCTAGGAGCTTCAATTAATGTGATGCATTTATCTGTTTATTCATCTATGAATGTTGGTCCATTAAAAGAAACGGGTATAATTCTTCAACTTGCTGATAGATCTAATGTGTATCCTAGAGGTGTTTTGGAAGATATTTTAGTACAAGTGCAAGGTTTAGTTTTTCCTGCTGATTTTTATGTAGTTGATATGGAAGAAGATAATAATTCTTATGATTCAACACTAATATTGTTGGGAAGACCATTTCTAAAAACAACTAAATCGAAAATTGATGTGCATGATGGTACATTAACAGTGGAGTTTGATGGTGAAATTATAAAATTTGATATATTTAATACTTCCATGAAACATTTGAATGGCATATCATCTGTTTTTGTTGTGGATATTCATTTTTTCGAATATCTTTAAAGCTCAACAAATTTCTTTGAGACTTTTGAGAGAACAATGCATTATCAATCATCAATTTTGTTCCTCCAGGCAATAATATATTGGCTTTTCCAGAGCCTTCAATCATTTTTGCACTACCACATATTGTAGTGACATATGCCTCATTTCTTTTCAAGAGGCAAAAATATTTTTCTCTTTTGAGAATTGTATGTGTGGTTGCACAATCCACAATACATACATCTTCTTCATTTGCACTGGATTTAATAACAAGTGATGATGTATTCATCTTGTTTCTTCAAGCAAGTACAAAACAAGGAAATAACATTTATTAGAAATATTACAAGGATAGCAAGAAAGATCTAACTGATCTCCAAGATAAAAACATCAGTCTTGATGTTCAACTGGCTCAATGAAATCTTCCACATTCAACTGTGTGATATCAAAATCGTTATCCATGAAAACATTGTTGGACTCTATATTTTGATCTTTTCCTTTCAGGGAAGCTTGATAGAGATCCACAAAGTGCTTTGATGTACGACAAGCGCGTTCCCAATGGCCAGTCTTGCCACAACGATAACATATACTCTCATTCTTGGGATAATTTTCACGCTTTTCCTTATCGTATTTTGCACCAGCACTTTCTCCTTTTCGGTGGTAACTTTTATTTTTGAAGTTTTGACCACCATAACGATTTTGACCACGACCGGGATTTTTACCACGGTATTTTTCATGACGACGACCGCGTCCATGGCCACGACCACTGCCCTTTGTATTTTCATTATACAATGATACCCCATTCACTTCAGGGAATGGGTTTGAGCCAGTAGGGCGTGACTCGTGGTTTTTCAACAACAACTCATTATTTTGTTCAGCCACCCGGAGGCATGAAATCAATTGAGAGTATTTGGTAAAACCTTTCTCTCTATATTGCTGTTGCAGCACCATATTTGATGCATGAAATGTGGAGAATGTTTTTTCAAGCATATCTTCATCAGTAATTCTTTATCCACATAACAACAACTGAGAGCTAATTTTGAACATAACAGAGTTATATTTGCTCACAGTTTTGAAATCTTGCAATCGCAAGTGAAGCCAATCATAACGGGCTTTTGGAAGAATTACTGTTTTCTGGTGATCATATCTTTCTTTCAGATCTTTCCAGAGTTGAAAGGGTTCTTTCACAGTAAGATATTCATCTTTTAACCCTTGGTCAAGGTGATGGCGAATGAAAATCATTGCCTTTGCTCGATCTTGCATCGAAGCATCACTATTTTCTTTTATAGTTTCACCAAGACCTTTTGCATTTAGATGCATCTCAGCATCCAGTACCCATGATAGGTAATTTTTCCCGGATATATCAAGTCCCACGAATTCAAGATTTGTAAGGTTTGACATATTTGTAATATTGAATAAAATATTATAATTTTATAAAGAAAGATTACCTATGTAATAGTTGCACCCGAGACCTCGTGCGGATAACGTGTTGTGAATATAATAATAATAGTAATATTATTATTATTAGTAAGATGCAATAGAATAGTAGCTATATTAGCTCAGTGAGAGGAAGAGAGAATTGTTAGCTTTCATATATTGCTTCTGATGTGTTTTGATACAAGGAGTGAAGGGGTATTTATACTATCAGGATTAGGAATAAACAAATATATAATTTGCATAATATGAAGAGATGTTGAAGCTAGTCTAGTTGGTTACTCAACATGTAGCTTTGCTTTGTCATGCTTGAGTATTGTGCTCCTGCTCTTCCTTCTTTCTCCTTCTTGTGTCTGTGCTCTTTCTTTAAAGCAAGATCAGACTTGCTCCTTCTAGAGCAAGATCAGGACATCCACATTTTCCTTATGTTTCATAACAACATTTCTTTTATTTATTTTTTTGTTAAAATAATCAAATAGACCCGCAAGAAAAAGTAATTAGATTCTTAAAATTTTAAAAATTGTAACAAAACACATCAATTTATTATGGGATAAGAGTCAAATAAGCCCTCTAACTATATACAAAGTGTAATTAGATCATTGAACTTTAAAAAAAAAAATCTAATTATACCTTTAGAATTGTTAGGTTACCAAAAGATAACGGGTCAACATTGCTTACATGACATATTACGTAGAACCCTATTTAAAAATTTAAAGAGAAACTATTGTCTTCTCGCGGATGGGCTTCTCCGTCAAGCTTCTATGTCCATGGTAGCTAGATTGTTGTCTACGTTTTTTTGTTTTTTTTTTTTTATCTTTTCATACAAATAAAATTAATTTATATAAAATGTATCATTGAAAATATCAAATTTGTTGTAATTTGGCCTATCAACTAGCTCAGTTCTCGCGTGATGTTTGCACGGTACTGCTTCGTGATTGTATGTATATGAGTATATAGAATAGATAAGTAAAAGGGAGATGAAGAACACAATGTATAGAACACAATTTCATAAGACTATCTTTTCATTAAGCCTTCACCCTCAATTTATAGGGACCATTACAACCTTTCACATACTTATCATAAACAAGATATTAAGTAGAAGGCAAATGAAGAGTCTCAAGATTAATGGCCACTAATTGAAATATTTATAACACTCCCCCTTGGCCATTAAATAACTATACTCATGCCTCGTTAAAAACCTCGCCAGAAAACCCAGTGGGAAAAACTAGACGAGGAAAAGAGTACACGAAGTATATTAAATCATTGTATTGCACCGGTTGCCTCATTAAAAACCTTAGCCTAAGAAAACCCAGTGGGAAAAAAAACTTAGCTAAGGAAAAGAGTACAACCATAAGCCTTCCGGGCATAATCTTCAAGATTTCAAGGGCCTTCAGGACTATCCACTCAAGTGCACCAACATCGATTGCCTCATTAAAAACCTTAGCCTAAGAAAACCCTGTGGGGAAAAACTTAGCTAGGGAAAAAAGAGTACAACCATATGCTTTCAGAGCATAATCTTCAGGATTTCAAAAGCCTTCTAGATTGTCCATTCCAGTGCAATTAGGGGTTGTCGCTCCCCCTGAAGATAACAATCTTCTAAGCCCACGCATCCCAATTTTATGAACATATTACTCAAAAGTGGATGTAGGCAGAGACTTAGTGAACATATCTGCAAGATTGTTCAGTGGGGAAAACATTCTCAACAAGAATTTTACAACTCTTCTAGAGTTCATGTGTGTAGAAGGATTTAGGTGCAACATGTTTTGTAAGGTTCTCCTTAACAAAATTATTACTTGCTTGTGCAACACAATCTTATTTGTCCTCATATGGGACATTGGGGGTAAAAATATAGCATAACCAGATTGGGACTTGGCATCATAGGGATCAAATAAAAGAGTCAGTACCCAAGTAGCCATCAAAACCACATGTTGGTTTCTCACATAAACGTCAAAATCTTTATACCTCGAAAATGCTGGAGGATATGTTAAACACAATTTCAATATTTCATTGTAGAGGGAGCACTAAACGTTGCTAGCAATTTCATCGCAAATTCAATATCAGGCCTGATGCGACTATAGAACTTCTAGTTCTATAATAGTGCTCCAATAAAAATATCAAGTAATGGACTTCCAATCCCAAAATATCCTCATTATCATCTTCGAGTCTAAATTGTCATTTATCTACTTCAAGAGATTATTGGACAACCGTTAGTGTGATAAGTAAATAATACTTATCCATATAAAACATCTTCAAGACATTTTTCAAGTAGGCTGACTGGTGTATAAAAAATCTTCAAAGAAAAGCTCGATCTTCACGTCGAGAAAATACTTGGGTTTCCCAAGTCTTTTATTTCTGGTAGGGAATATCCCGACCGACATAGCTTCACCACGACCGAGGAGCCTTTTGTCTCTTTCTCCTTGTCTTTGCAGGTAACAGGTCGGGCTCCACGAGAAGAACCCGGTCGTTGACCGACCGGAGTTGCCCGAGCGACGGTGTCGACCACCGAGCGGTAGCCCTTTGGCGAAAGAGCTGACGAAGGACACGTGGCGGCTCTTTACATCGACAGGCAGGGCACCCGGGAGGATGACACGTGGTGGCTACGTGGAGGACATGCTGAACGGCTGGAATCCTGTCCCCGGCATAGCGGCTATAAATACCCACAGTAGCTACAGCGTAAGGGACTTTTGGACGATCGATAGGTTGTTGTTAGAGAATCCCGACCGCAGTCAGTCGGTACTCAGAGCAACCAAGTAGATTGTACTTAGGGCCTTTACCGTGATCAATAAAGATTTTACTTGCTTTAATTGGTCTCGTGATATTCTATATTGCTTACGTAGAATTAGCAGTATCATTTTGGCGCCGTCTGTGGGGAACCGTACGAGAAACCAACGTCTTGACGAGCACCCGATCACCATACCAACATGTATCCGTGGGCACACAACAACTTCGCCGACGACCAGGCGGATGCGGCGAGCTCCTCCGACCACTATGCTACCCAACAGCAGGGTCAGACAATGGACCTCAACCTCAACCTTTCACCACCGCATCCGTCAAATGCATACCCGGCCGCCCAGCAGCCCGTGAATTACATACAACCGGGATACCCACCACCCGGTCTACCATACCAGCAGCAGCCGATGATGTATCCCGCCCAGTATCCGTACCCGGTCCCACCTCCACCGTACGGGTATTGGCCAGGCCAACCGATGTGCTACACTTCCCCGGTTGGTTATCCACCATATACGCCAGCTTATGCAGCTCCAGCCGCCGCCCTCCAGTACAACCGACCGCACAAGTAGAGCCGCAGCGTCAGTCCACTTCCCGGGCTCGACGCTCGGCTCATTCGCGGTTGGGGTCGGGGGGTGCTGATGCGATGGAGGCACCAGCTCAGGCCATTCAAGCGGAGGACCCTGAAGAAGTTGCCCGAGCGGTAGCTTTTGATCGTCTTCGACCGGAGATGCGCCAGCGTTTGGGACCCCAAGACCCGAATCGCGGGCAAGAAGACGTACAAATGCAGGAAGCTAGCCACGAGGCTTCATCCGGATATAGCGGGTCAAGATCTCACCGACGACGACGCGCTCGGGATACAGCCCAAGCCGCTCAAGCCGCCGAGCTCAACGAAACCCGAGGATTGCTCTACAACCTCCAGGCGGAAGTTGCGCAGCTCAGGAGTGCGTATCCTACAGCACCCCCGGCCGACCGATCGACCCTACACCAGACGCCTTTCACAGCAGCGGTAATGGCTCAGCCTTACCCGCTTGACTTAAAGGTCTCGGGAGAGAAGAGTTACGACGGTCGGACAGATCCTGAGGCTCACGTGAATGATTTCTTCAGCAATATGATGCTGAAGGGCGTTTCAGACGCCGTGATGTGCAGGGCCTTCTACTCAACGCTCACCGGTCGGGCGGCAGAATGGTTCCGAACCCTGCAGCCGGGGTCAATCGACAAATTTGAGACCCTGGCAATCAAGTTTGTACGGAAGTTCATTACTTCCAAAGTGGTGAGGAAGTCCTATATGTACCTCGAAAAGGCCAAGCAGCTCGAAGGGGAAAGCTTGACCGACTTCCTCATCAAGTGGAAGGCAGCAGTCGGGGAGGTCGAGCCCATGGATGATGCGACCGCCACTCACATGCTTCACATCTCCCTCCGGGCGGGGTATCTATACCAGGATTTTATCCTCCACCCCCCGACCACTTATGAGGAGGCCCTCCGAAGGGTCACTGACTATGCCAACGCAGGTGAGGCGAATGCCGTCAAGCGCTTGCAGGAGGTCGGCTCTTCGTCTCGTAAACCGGCCAGCCGGGCAGAACATCGATCGGGAGATGACAATCCCCGACCTCGCACCAGGCATGGCGAGTTTACGGCCTTGAACCGATCCGCAGCGGAGGCCATGCAATACGCCCAGTCCTGCAATCTCATCAAACTTCCCCATCCCGATCGAGACGGCCCTGACAAGAGTAAGCATTGTGCTTACCATCGATGCGCCGGGCATGACACCGAGGAGTGTACCCACTTGCGCCAATTATTGGAAGATTTGCTCAATTTGGGAAAATTGGACAAGTGTGTGGGAAAGAGAGAAGACAGCAAGAGAAATACCGATCGGAGGGATCACAGACGATCTCATCACTGCTCTGATCGGTCGGGCCAGGACCGAAGAGACGATCGAAGGGACGATCGTCATGATGACCGACGGACCCTGACCCTCCGTCCGGTAGCCGCCCGTCCGGAAAACCTACCATCCACGTCATCTTTGGTGGGCTGGAAGATGCTTCCCGACCACGGACAAATTGCCCGGTCGCAGTAGTGGATTCCCGGGAGACCGGGAAGAGGCAGAAGATGGAGCCCATAACCTTCACCCTCGAGGACCAACCTACCAGCAGTGATCACGGCATGGAGGCGCTCGTGGTCACGATTGACGTTAAGGGGACGGATGTCCAAAGGGTTATGGTTGACACGGGCAGTAGCGT